CCAGGCCCTCCCGCAGCCCCCTGGCCGCGCGGTCACAGCCCCGCGCAGCCCTCCCGAACCTCGGGCCGACCTGAGGAGTTACCACAGGCACCACCTGGAAGGGCAGGCAGCTCGACGGACACTTACCCCCCCGAGAGCACAGGGGACACGACCCTCACGAACGGCGGGTCGAAAGGAAAATTATCCTGCAAGGAGAGAAAGGAAACAAAGTCAGTGAGAACCATCTCCTCTCCCAACCTGCCAAGACAGGTGAGTGCCGGGCCAGGCTGGCGCAGGAGCCTTACTTTAAAGGAGAAGTTGAGGAGGATGAAATCTGTCCCCTCCTTCTCTCTGAGGATCTGCAGATCGTTGTGCAAAGCGCTGTCCTCGTCAACCCTGGCAAGGATGGCTGGGACAGCCTGCGCTGTCACCATTCTGTTCCCGGTTTGCGGAGAGGACCAGCACACCCTGCACGTGCCGCCAGCTTAAAAATAAAGCCCGCCTGGCCCAAGGAGCAGGCAGCACTGGTGGCTGGAGGGTGGCAAAGTCGGGGCTCTGTCTCATGCACCTCTTCCAGGTCTCTAGGAACAGCAGACAGACTTGCAGAGCCCCACGAGTACCTCATTCCTCTGGAAAAACCACCTCCTTTCTTGTGGGGAGACAGCGGGTAGGCTGCCCACGGGGCTAAAAAAGGCTCAGCTAAGATGCTCCCCTGGCCTGGCCGCGTCCCCCCGGCTCGCAGGGATGTTCTGGTCCCACCACCACGATCCCCAGCAGTCGCGAGGTGCCCAGCGCCACCACCTACTTCAAGAGCTTGACGTTCCAATCGTAGAGGCTGTCGTTCACCAGCTCCACCGCGTAGTACCCTGCAGAGCACAGAGGGGCTGTGAGCACGGGGGCCCCGCGCCGGCCTGCGCTCGCCCCCAGGGTTCCAGCGGTCTGCTCCACTCTGCAGCGTCAACGGGAACAGGCCCAGCCCAAGAAGGAGGCCTTGTCTAGAAGGGCCATCCTGCAAGCAGCAATTCTGACTGCTCCTTGAATTCTGGCGCTTAGGCAAGGAGCAGGAGCCACGTTAGACATGGAGGTTTGCTCAATACCCTCGATCGAAGCACAACTACCTAAGGCCCCAGATGCTCCTCCCCACGAAGCAGCTAAGCACAAGGGAACAATTCAGCTCGGGAGCCCATTAGGTCCCAGTTTGAAGGAGGAGCAAAACCCTGAGCCAAGGCAGCCCCTTCCATACTCACCGCCTTTGAAACTTGGTGATCGGTAAATATCCCTGAGCTCCTTCATTAACCGGTCGGTGGCCTGCACAGACCCAGACACTGCACCCTAGGAGGGACAAGGAGGGCGACCGCATTGTTACTTGGCCCACGCCAGGGCTGCTGCTACGGGCGGCTCCAGCCTGGGCTAGAAACCCTGCTGCGAGCGCCCGGCCTCCGGAGCAGAGCTCGCTGCGCCCCCCCTTCTCTCCGCTTCTCCTTTTGCCCTCTCGTTTGGGCAAACGGGCTCCCCCGAGGGCCTCAGAGCGGGAGCAGGGGCATCTCCACGGCGCAGGGCCCAGCCAGGCGCCCTCCGGAGCTCCCCCAAACCCGGCGCTTCCAGGAGCCCCAGGGGCAGCTCAGGGCCTTCCCCGAAGCAGCCACCCCAGCCCCGTGGCCTCTGCAGTACCTGTGACAGGTAACTGCCCCTCTGCTAGAGGGCTAGCGGGCTCCATCGCTTCCCTGGGTCCCTCTGCTTCCCCAGCCCTCCGGCCCTCCAGGTGACACGTACATTTAAGTAATCTTGCCTCTGGTTCTTTTTTATTTTCTCTAAAATGGCGAGGTTTTCCTTCCCAATGCCTTCATCCTCTGTCTTTTTTCCATCTGCTGGCTCTTCCTCTTTCATCTCATAGTGATCCAGGTCCTCACTGTCCTGGGAAAGGGAAAAGAGAGCTAGTGGGACATCCCCTCTCAGGAGGGGATCCGCCTGCCGGGACGGGATCCTCCCTGCTCCGAGGAGCCGCAGGGCCCAAGCTCTGCACACAGGAGCTCAGTCTTGACCCCAACGAGGCACAAACACTGCGATGGAGGAGAAGATGCAAGGCCTCCACGCGAGGAGGTTGTCTGGACATGCTGGAGAAAAACTCAGTCCTATAAGTAAGGAATTCCAGGCACAGGGGCCCTTCAGCCCTGCCTACAAACTTTGCACAAAAGGGGCATGTTTCCCTCTCAGCTTTAAACCAGGCTGCTATTTAAGCTCTTTGGCAGCACAGAATCCAGCAAACAAGCGTCTTGCTGCTTGTCATTATCCAGTGGCCCTGCGCAGGCTGCA